GCTCTAGGGCTTCTGCTACTCGTACGAGCGTCCAGTCAGCGTCCCCACATTCAGCGTCGCAATACGAGCCTTCAACACATTGCACGTCTTTCGGACTAGCCTGGTTGCCCCCGATGCCGTCCTTGCAACGAGGACCCTCGCATATTTTTCACACTCGTCGGGCCTTGCGAGTGCGCGTCGGCTCCCGCGGACGCCGTAGCATTATCTCGAATTTCATAAGGCATAGTTAGAACATAATGATGTGACATGGGGTGTTCGTAAGCCGGCCCGTCACGAAGGCCTGTCGCCTGCGTTCGCGTTTGTCCGTGTTCTGCTCAGCCCGCAGAAGCGGGCAGGTCCCAGTGGCACCACTTGGAGGAACGGACGTCACCACCAAAGTAATGGCTACGCTGGCTGGCTTCTTTCTTAAAAATCCTTGAAAATGCTGAAGACGCTTCCACTAATGAACACGTTCTCCAACAAAGAACAATATTCCGAAAGATACTCGTTTCGCCCCACACGATCAAATTTTGCATCGTTCTGTGGGTTATGTAGTAGTATTTCTCTGAACCGTAAGTTGTTTGTGTAACTATGTGTCCTCCCGAAACTTAGGGGTTACGTGAGAAACATATAGGGAATGAATCATTCTTGGGATGCATGTGACATGGGCCATATTTACAGAGCACACGCTCGATAACCTAAGCCCCAAACACAATGGGTGGGGCGCGCGCCGAAGTGGACGCTGTCGAGTATGAAAATTCTGGAAAAGCACCCAGAGCAGTCCAGGGGTGGCAGTATGAGTAACCGGCAACGGAGTTGCCAGGTGAGGGAGAGACACGTAGTGGGTGAGAAGTACCTGCAAAAAAAAAACTTGGAACAAGCCACAAAATCGCGTTTCAAACAGTTCTGAAGCTCTTATTCAACAGCAAAACAGTGGAAAGGTAAGCAGATAGCGAGAATTGAACAAGAAAAAACTATCCAGCGCTCTGAATTTGGTTTGCTTACCATTGGATTTGATTAGAACCTTTATCGTCCGTGGAATCGACTCCACAGGAGCTTCAGGGATATCCACGGATATTCGTCTACGAATTCCTTAGAATGCATGGAACTGCTTACTCGTGTTGGTGGTCTTCTTTCCTTTGACTCATGGATCACGCCTACTCAAAGATGCTCGATGGGTTGAGGTGGAGACTTTCACTCGATCATTCTGCCATCTGGATGCTGACTTTGAGTGCCGGAACTATTAGGTTGTCCGGAAAGTTCTCAGCGTTTTGTGTTACTATTTTTGTACATTCATTGCTGATTAAAAACTCATTCTCCCTTGCGTCTCAGTAGTACATCCTGAAGAGAATTTTTTGCGCTATCTGATGGTATAATTGCCGTACCATTGCTTGATAAACCCCCTTTTCCCAAGACTTTTTGAAGCATGTCAAAAGAGCAACTTCGGACGATATTTTTCTTCAACTACAAATTGGGTCAATCCGCAGTCGAGACAGCTCGACAAATTAACCAGGTGTGGGGGCCCAATAGTGTTGGAGAAAGCACCGTGCGACAATGGTTCGACAAATTTCGTTCTGGAGATTTCAGCCTTGAAGATGAACCTCGTAGCGGTCGACCTAAAGCAATACCTGACGAGGATTTGAAGGCGTTTGTGGAGGCTGACCCATCCCAAACAGTTCGAGAGATTGCAGAAAAGCTAGGCGTTGGCAAATCCACTGTTGCAGATGGTCTGAAACGCATTGGGAAGGTGAAAAAACTCGACAAGTGGGTGCCCCACAATTTGAGTGACCGGCAGAAATTGGCACGTCTCGAGGTTTCTTCTTCACTGCTTTTGCGCAACAGAAACGACCCGTTTTTGGACCGAATTGTCACCTGTGATGAAAAGTGGATCATGTATGATAACAGGAGACGTTCCGGATGCCGACGAACCACCGAGGCAATTTCCAAAGCCGAATCCTCACGAAAAAAAAAGATTATGGTCACAGTGTGGTGGTCATCGGCTGGTGTGATCCACTATAACTTTTTATCACCAGGCCAAACCATCACAGCAGAACCCTACTGTGAAGAAATCGACGAATTGTACCGAAAATTTT